AATGCTTCTGTAAACATCCTTAAACCCCAGCGTGTGAATAGACCAAGGCCTATCAAGCTGGAACTGGTGCAGGAAGGGGCTGCACACGGCCTTAACTTCCAACAAGGTCTCCAGGAGCTTTTAGGGCTGTGGCACGCAGCTCCCCTGACCCTGGGCACCTGGGATGCAGCCGTTCTCAGCTCACCCTAGAAAGAGGTGGAGCAGCAGAGGGGGAAGGCCCTCATTCTGCTGCTCTTCCTACGGAAGCTCCCCCAGCCCCTCGCATGGATCATGGAGAACCCTGTGCCCCGTCCTGCATTTTCCCTGGGGGAGCTGCTTTGCACCTTCACTCAAGACACTGGGGGGTGCCTTCCACTGCCACTGCACACCGGGGCTCTCTTTCTGTGATGTAAGTGCTTGAACATCTATCAGAAAAAAAATTCCTACGATGCCTTAATTCTTTGAATTAAATAGAAGAAATTCATTTAATACTAGCAAGTTGTACAAAAAACAGTCATGAGTCTTTTCCTGGGAAAAGAGTGGGAGAAATCCTGGAGTCATTCCTAGAATGCTTGGTTTTAGTCCAAGCTCTACTGCAAACGAGCCACCCAACTGCAGATGGTGCTTAACCTTTCTTGAACTATTTATTCATCTTTTAAATGGCAGGTATGAAGGCCTGCTCTGCCTCACTCACACGGTTGCTATTTTTCTATTTTTGCAGATGAGACTATAGGTGTGAAAACATGCTGAGAACATAAGCCACACAACATTCCATGTTAAAAGAAAGGAAACTTCTGGACATTGAACACAATGACAAAGCATTCAAGGACTGACATGACTCCAATGCACAGTGTGATGTGCAGGCATCTCAGACCTGGCTACGTGAATATGGCCACATACAAAATCAGCAGCATGGGGGACTCACAAAGAAATCCATGAAGTCCTAGCACTTGGCATCTGACCAAAGCATTTCTATTTCTGGAACGTAATATACAAGGAAAACAAGCAAAGACAAATCTCTTTTTTTGAGACAGGATTTCACTCTGTTGCTCAGGCTGGAGTGCAGTTGTGCAATCATAGCTCACTGCATCCTCAAACGCCTGGGCTCAAGCAATCCCCCCACCTCAGCTTCCCACGTGCCACCATGCCTGGATAACTGTTTGTTTGTTTGTTTGTTTTACTTTTTGTAGAGATAGGGTCTTGCTGGTCGAGAATTCCTGAGCTCAAGTAATTCTCCCACCTTGGCCTCCCAAAGTGCTGGGATTACAGGTGTGAGCCACAGCACCTGGCCAACAAATCTTTTAGTTCATTAAGTATTATACTGTCTCTGGGATCATCGGTGCATCCCCATAAGCTACAAGGCAGGCAAACTGTGGTTTAGTAAGTAGTAGTAATGTGGCACATATACACCATGGAATACTATGCAGCCATAAAAAAGGATAAGTTCATGTCCTTTGTAGGGAAGTGGATGCAGCTGGAAACCATCATTCTCAGCAAACTATTGCAAGAATAGAAAACCAAACACCGCATGTTCTCACTCATAGGTGGGAACTGAACAATGAGATCACTTGGACTTGGGAAGGGGAACATCACACACCGGGGCCTATTATGGGGAGGGGGGAGGGGGGAGGGATTGCATTGGGAGTTATACCTGATGTAAATGACGAGTTGATGGGTGCTGACGAGTTGATGGGTGCAGCACACCAACATGGCACAAGTATACATATGTAACAAACCTGCACGTTGTGCATATGTACCCTAGAACTTAAAGTATAATAAAAAAAAAAAAAATGGTCCTATTATTTTTTATGGCTGCATAGTATTCCATGGTGTATATGTACCACATATTCTTTATCCAGTCTGTCATTGATGGGCATTTAGGTTGGTTCCATGTCTTTTCTATTGTGAATAGTGCTGCAGCGAACATACATGTGCATGTATCTTTATGACAGGATGATTTATATTCCCTTGGGTATATACCCAGTAATGGGATTGCTGGGCCACATGCTATTGCTGCCTCTAGGTCTTTGAGCAGTCACCATGCTGTCTTCCACAATGGTTGAACTAATTTACACTCCCCACCACCAACAGTATAAAAGCATTCTCTTTCTCCACAACCTTGCCAGCATCTGTTGTTTTTTGACTTTTTAATAATAGCAGAATGGCTATTTTTAAAAAGTTAAAAAACAGAAGGTGCTGGTGAGACTGTGGAGAAAAGGGAATGCTTAAACACTGTTGCTGGGAATGTAATTAGTTCAGCTACTGTGCAGGGCCGTTGGAGGTTTCTCAAAGAACTTAAGGCCGGGCGCGGTGGCTCAAGCCTGTAATCCCAGCACTTTGGGAGGCCAAGACGGGCGGATCACGAGGTCAGGAGATCAAGACCATCCTGGCTAACATGGTGAAACCCCGTCTCTACTAAAAAAATACAAAAAACTAGCCGGGCGAGGTGGCGGGCGCCTGTAGTCCCAGCTACTCGGGAGGCTGAGGCAGGAGAATGGCCTAAACCCGGGAGGTGGAGCTTGCAGTGAGCTGAAATCCGGCCACTGCACTCCAGCCTGGGCGACAGAGTGAGACTCCGTATCAAAAAAAAAAAAAAAAAAAAAAAAAAGAACTTAAAACAGAACTACCATTCAAAAAAGAAAATAATCATTCTACCAAAAAGACACATGCACTCATACATTCATTGCAGCACTATTCACTGTAGCAAAGTCACTGAATCAACCTTGTGCCCATTAGCGGTGGCCTGGATAAAGAAAATGTGGTACATATACACCATGGAATACTACGCAGCCATAAAAAAAGAACATGGATGCAGCTGGAGCCATTGTCCTAAGTGAATTAACACAGGAACAGAGAACCAAATACTCCATGTTCCCACCTATAAGTGGGAGCTAAACAGTAGGTACTCATGGGTTTAAAGATGATGACAGTAGACACTGGGGACTAATATTAATAGATGGGGGAGGGAGGGAATGGGGCAAGGGTTGAAAAACCAACTATTGGATACTATGCTCCCGGCCTGGGTGACAGAATAAATTATACCCCAAGCCTCAGCATCACGCAATGTACTCATGCAGGGACATGGATGGAGTTGGAAGCCATTATCCTCAGCAAACTAATGCAGGAACAGAAAACCAGTCACCACATGTTCTCACTTGTAAGTGGGAGCTGAATGATAAGAATACGTGGACACAGGGAGGGGAACAAACACACTGGCGCCTGTCAGAGAGGAGGAATGAGGGGAGGGAGAGCATCAGGAAGAGTAGCTACTCTAAGTAGCTGGGATTCATACCTAGGTGATGGGATGATCTGTGCAGCAAACCACCATGGCACATGTTTACCTATGGAACAAACCTGTACATCCTGCACATGTACTCCTGAACTTAAAATAAAAGTTGAAGAAAAAAATATAAAATAATTCTTAAATAGTCATTCTGACTGGTGTGAGATGGTATCTCACCGTAGTTTTGATTTTCTGCACAGTATTTTTGACACGTATCTCAATGAGAACTATGTTTATAATCACATTTTTGAAATGAACAAAGTGGAAATTCAAAAATAAAAAATTTTTAAACTATTTTTGATAACTATAGCCTCATAGAGTGAGTGTCCAGCAACCTAATCCCTGCCCTAGGTGGACAAGGCCAGCGTAGGTGTGGAAATCCTGGTGTGCCTGCTCAGCATTTCATGTCTATAGACCAAGGCTTCCTCTACTAGAAAAAAAGAAGTTTTGACAAGATAGTCTGAAATTTCCTCCCTGTCCTAAAATATTGCCTTTTAAGTCATATCTTATTTAAATCACTGTAATATGCAAAGGATGAACTGAGACTCAAACTCTAACAAGTGTTCTCAAGAGTGATTTCCAGAATTATTGCTTAATCCAACTCCCAGCCCCACATGGAGAGGGGAAACAGGTACAGAGGTGTCAGGATAATCACAAATCATTTCCACGCTCTTTATTAAGGTAGCCCTGAAATTCGGTGACTGCCAGAATTGCTTTCTAGTTGGAAACTTGCCCTCTCGTCTTTGGCAAGTTACAATTTAAGGTGAGTAAAGTAATACATTTGACTTATTTTAACTGCCCTCAAGGGCAGACTCCAAGAAAGCAGCAGAACGCTTCTGCAAGCTGGTGCTTGTGAACAATGCTGGGGCTACTGGCGTGTCCTGCATGGAGCTCTGGGTGGCGCTCCAAAGACACAGAGAAGAGCAGCTTCTGTCAGATGTAGAGGAGAAGCACTTAACTAGTGCTGGCACATTGTATGTAGTTTATCATTTAGTCCTTACAACAAGCTTCTGAGGTATCTATTATCATCTCCATTTTACAGGTGAGGAAATTTAAGAACAGCAATATTGCAACTCAGAGAAGTAGATGTCCTCAAAATAACTCACTTGTGTAATAATCCACAAAATAAGTCCATTTTAAGTAAAAATGTTAAATTCTAAATATCAACAGACTATCTGACTTAAAACTGGTTTTTTTTTTTTGTTTTTTTTTGCTTATAAAAAAGGAATGTCTCTTTAAACAAATTAAATGGTTATTTTTACTAAGAATCAAGCGATAAGAACGATGTGATGGAATGTTCTGTCCTGTAGACCTAATAAATGTCTATCAACTACAAAAATGTTGAGAACTTGGGACAAAACTTTAAATTTAGCATTATAATTAGCTTCAACATTGCATAACTCTAAATAACTTTTCCTGAGACCTGTCTTTTCAAACCCCCCCAAAACAAAAGGAAAATGAAAACTTCAATTAACTGCACAGTGTGCCTCAAAGATGACTATCTCCCTCCGCACATCTTAGCCTCTCTTCACTGCCTTCCGCCACTTCGTTACTTAAGTGCTTTGACAAGTATGACAAGCTTGCACAGCGTGTTCTGACTTCAAGAGCAACACATCTCTGCAGGCACTCCCTTCTAAACACTGCTTCTGTAAAACTTCCATTATTCTATGCCGACATTTACATTTTTACCAAGTTGGCCAATTTATTCCATTATTAGTTGTTAGAAGCGAACACTTACTTCCTTCAACTTCCTTATCTTTGCAGGTTTTCGGGGAACTATATGAATATAACTGCAAAAGAAGAAAGAAGAAAACATCATTAGAAGGAAGATATTTACACAGAAAGTTCCAGACTCTTTAGAAATGAGTCCTTTTCTGGCTTAATAGATACAACCCCACAGCAATTTGGAACTAGAATCTAAAATTGTCTCGGTGTTAGAATCCACATCAGAATACAATAGCAATGCTGTTGTAGAACAGTTTTCACACTGGGTACCACTGGCACTGCCCCTTGAAAGTGTCTCTTAAGTGACATTGCTTTCCCTCATGTAATTTTATTAAAAAGAAACCTGAGAAATCATCTAATTCAACAGCATTTTTTAACCAGGTTGCTGAAGGCCCAGAACTGCAAGCTCATCAATGTTCCCATGACAGGCTAAGGTCGGACCAGAAACCCAGACTCTCCTCCAGCTCCTCTGCACCCCCACCGCTCCCTCCTGGCTCACAGAAATTCAACACTGCTCCCCTTTTGCCAAAACTGCAAACTGGAAAAGAGTCACCAGCATAAAATGTGTCTGAGCCCTACTAACGCAATGTTTTTTTACTGTTGGGGACTTTTGGGACTTCCATGTTCCTCAAAAATAAAATGTTTTCATGGGTAATAAATAATACCTTCAAATTTATATGTGATACTAAGGTTTCTTCCTGATTAAAAAAATATGTTCGAGATTGTTATTTGAAGGGGTGGCCGCCCCTCCACACCTGTGGGCGTTTCTCGTTAGGTGGAACGAGAGACTTGAGAAAAGAAATGAGACACAGAGACAAAGTATAGAGAAAGAAAAAGTGGGCCCAGGGGACCGGCGCTCAGCATACAGAGGACCCACGCCAGCACCAGTCTCTGAGTTCCCTCAGTATTTATTGATCATTATCTTTACCATCTTAGAAAAAGGGAAGTGGCAGGATAATAGGATCATCCTAGGGAGAAAGTCAGCAGTAAGACATATGAATAAAGATCTCTGTGACATAAGTTTAAGGAAAAGTGCTGTGCCTTGATATGCATATGTAAACATCTCCATAAACCTTTATAGTGCATAAAGAGCAGCATTGCGCTAGCAAGTCCCACCTTTCGCCCTAAGGCGGTTTTCTCCTTTCTCAGTAAACAAAATATACAATCGGGTTTTACATCAAGATGTTCCATTGCCCAGGGAGGGGCAGGAGACAGATGCTTTTCCCTATCTCAACTGCCAAGAGGCCTTCTTTCCTCTTGTACTAGTCCTCCTCAGCACAGACCCTTCACGGGTGTCAGGCTGGGGGACGATCAGGTCTTTCCTTCCCACGAGGCCATATTTCAGACTATCGCATGGGGAGAAACCTTGGACAATACCTAGCTTTCCTAAGCAGAGGCCCCTGCGACCTTTGGCAGTGTACGTGTCCCTGGGTACTTGAGATTAAAAGAATGGTGATGACTTTTCACAAGCATACTGCCTTCAGGCACTTGTGTAACAAAGCACACCCTGCACAGCCCAAAATCCGTTAAACCTTGAGTCACCACAGCACATGTTTCTTGCAAGGATAAGGTTGGGTGTAGAGTCATAGATTAACATCATCTCAAATACAGAACAAAATGGAGTCTCTTATGTCTACTTCTTTTTATATAGACACAGTAACAGTCTGATCTCTCTCTTTTCCCCAGTTATTGTTTTTGATAGTTTTAGCAATATTCAGAGAAGGGTCAACTTAGACTGGTAAATAGAAGGGGAAGAAATAACTAAGTGTTCAATAAAGAGTCACAGACGCAGATCCCCACAGAAACTGGTCAAGTAAATGATGACACTCACCAAGGGGGGTCTCAGGGACTGGTGGGGGCTGTGGCCAGCGGGAGCGTCCCTTCCCTTCTGGGGTGGACAGGGCCTCACAGGTCCAGATAGTGGAGATGCGCGCAACTACAACCAAGTCCTCTGAACAATCAAATCCTCTATTTTTTCCAAGGGAGACCAAAAGTTCATATTATTACATGAATTCTCCCAATTATAAAATGCTACAGCCAACTCAAATCTTCGAAAATTGTGTCAACCAAACAAAACATGGCTGCTGACTGAGTTCAGCCTGAGCCTCTCCACTTGCCTGGAGGCCCTCGTATCCACTCTTCACTAGCTTAGTCTAGTCTTCATCTTTTCCAAATAAATATTTTAAATTTGTTCTAAATTCCCAAATTCCATATTTGTTTATGAACACTAATCTCCCAAATGAGACATCTGACTTTCATTACATGGAACCAAAAAATAAAATTTAACACAGAAAAACACATAAAAAGATCCTACAAAAACACAAAATACTATTTATTATTTCAATGTTGCGCTCCCAAGAACATATAAAAACAGAAAGAAAGGACAAATAGTTCCTCAGAGAGCCCATGACCTGAGGACAAATAGTTCCTCAGAGAGCCCATGACCAGGCACTTAGAGAAGCCTGCTGGGTGGGCTTGGCTTGCCTTGAGGTGGGCAGGGAGTGGGTCTGTGAAGCCGAGATGGGACCAGCAGGTGCAAGCTCCCTCCTGGCTACTTCCAGAGAACAAAGGAAGGGAAGAAACCATCCATGAGAATCAGTGCCAGGCACTTTACCGTACGGCATTCATTCCATTCTCCCAAACGCACCGCAGACTGGATGTTAAGCCTGCTTTATTGATGAGGACACCAAGTCTTGGAGAGGTTATTTAACTTGTTAAACGTTACTCAGGTAGAGAAAGCCAGGATTAAATTCCACCAGTCTCTGGCTCTGAGGCCAACATTCCTGTCATCTATCACAACTTCCTCTCCACCCACTTTTCCTCTTTCTCCTGTCATCTGCTAGTTCCCAGGTACAAATGGGTGGCCAGGGAGATGAGAGGGAAAAGCTGGGTTGAGGAAGAATGAGGATAGTTTGATTCAAATAGCACATTCACATTCATGTCTCAGCAACCAGCTCTAAGGTAAACAGGGTAATATTCCTAAGCATTCAAATTCTTTGGGGTCCCGCCCCTAAACACACACAGACACATACACACACACACACACGCATGCACACATACGCAACACCCTGATTTAGATTTTGTTGTAAATATGACTTTCTCCACAAAAGAAATATTAATTCTAGGCTATAAAGCCTAGACACTTTAAATTGTTTTGAAAAGTAAATATTATCTTATAATATTTTGTTTTATAAAGAAAAAAATTATGTTCTTTGCGTCTCAAATTATTTTATTCCAGGAAATGTCTGAGCAATGATTGGATATTGGATAGATTTGTCGGTGTTTGTCTTTTTAATGCACCGTCTCGAAACCACTATTACGAGGGGAGCTCCCGGATCACTAACATATCAACAGGCTTCACTTCAAAGTTCATTTGCTGGTGACACAATTAGAATATTATTTTCCAGTGAAAATTAATTGTACTGCTCAATGGTTTAGCAATTACAGAATATAAATTTCCAAGAGCTAGTTTACTTTACTAATACCAGTGAAAATCCAGCCACACTTTTGCTCACCAAAGTCTGAATTCCAATTTCATACTCATTGACCTAGAAAAAAACTAAAGAAAAGGGACCCCACGTGCTCTCTGCGTTGACCTTCACATGCAGACACGGCTCATCTATTTTACAGCAACGAAGATGCATGGATAATAGACAATGCAAAATAACCCAGGCTGTCTGCCACACAGACCCCAACTCCCCTCCCTCTGCAGTGGGTGACATGTCTTTCCTCCCAAAAAGTAATCATAAACAGTAAAAGCACTGGGAAGAAAAACATCTCAATTTTTTCTCAATACTTTTGCTACAAGTCCAAAACATTTTAAATAAACCAGGAGACTCGAGACTCTCTCTACAAAACTGGAGGTATAACAGGGTCTGCTGGAAAACGCCTAGCCCCACAGCAAGAGGAAAGAGAAACATCTCCCAGGCATGCTCCAGGCTTCATGGCAGGGGCTTGATATGTCTCCTTCCCCGTTTGCTAGCATGCAAAACATAGGCCAGTTTTACAAGGAAATGTCTTAGGATAAAGTTAAATACTTTTCATTACATGTGTATCAAAAAGGACTTTAAAGTCGGTTTTTGCAGAAATATATTCTTTAATTGTAAAACAACACTCAACACTGGATCCTGGGTGGGGTGTCTGTTCTAGACATTGACATCATCTGCCTCGCCCAGAAAAAATACTCACAAATTACACGGCTCTAAAGGAATATAATTTTGTCCACGAATTCTCATACATAACAGGATTATCATAGTAATAAATTTCACTCTGAAATATGCTAATCCAGATTCTACCTCTTAGCAACTGTGATGCCTGTGACTTACAATTTTTCTTCAGAAACAACTGAATAGTAAATTCACATCTTTGCAAATACCACTAAGAATTTGGAACCATACACCAGCCCTCACACTAAATCCTACTACTTTTTCAAAAAACAACAAACAAAACTCAAGATGCTGATTTAATTCAGAGCATTTTTGAACTGGGAGCATTTGAAAGAAAATGGAAATCCTCTCTGGGGAATCTCACTTTTATCTCAGCCCTCGAAGAACGTCCCCACACAAAGCTATACAAAAGGAGTAGTTCACAGTCAAAAAATAAGGACACCTACAAGGAAATAAAGGACCAGGAGAGAAAAGCAGCTGAGATCACAGAAAGCAGACACAGGCTGCAAGAACGGGATTACAGACACAAACCGTGGGAGGGCAATAGTTTCATTAATTAAAGGCAAGCTTGAAAATGCACGCAGGCCCAGGTGATGAACACAGAGTTAGAGGGGCCACCCTGAGCGATTTCAAAAGGGAACTGCCCAACCCGCCGCATTCCCAGGCCCTGCCCCCACGTCCCCCAGGTCCCTCCCCACGCCCTTATGCCCCTCTCCACGCCCCTACCCCACGCCCTCCTCCACCCCCCCGTTCTGCCCCATGCCCCTCCCCCACGCCCTCCTCCACACCCCTCCTCCCCCACCTCCTCCCCTCAATTTCTTTCACCCATTCCCCTCCCGCCCTCCTCCACACCCCTCCCCGCCCTCCTCCACACCCCTCCCCCACGCCCTCCCTCCACACCCCCCGTTCTGCCCCAACACCCCCTCCCACGCCTCCTCCCGTTCTGCCCCATGCCCCTCCCCCACGCCCTCCTCCACACCCCTCCGTTCTGCCCCGTGCCCCTCCCCCACACCCTCCGGGCAGCCTCTGGAGCTGTCCTGATTCGCTGCCGGCGAGGGCCCGCCCTGCCCCATAGGAAGGGGCCCTGGGGGTGGGGCTGCCTCGGCTTCGCCCCCAGAAAACCACGTGGCCTGGGGCGGCTGGACTCCGGCGCTTGATCCACTCCAAAGACGGGCGCCTGAGCCGGGAGTGAAGCCTGGGGAGGACACCTGGGGAGCACAGCCCTGACCACGCTCAGACCCAAGACGGCGGGGAGGGGCGCGGGGGGCGCGGGGGGCGCGGGCGCACTTACTCGAGCTCCTTGAAGCGCTCGCGGCCCGCCGCCACGTACTTGCCGCCCGCCTGCAGCGCGTCCAGCTCCAGCACCCGGTGCCCACGCGTGGGCGTGAAGAGGCGGCGCACGCCGAACGGGACGTCCACCTGCTCCGTGAGCTGCTCCAGCAGCGCCTCGAAGGTGGCCGCGCGGCGCCGCGAGAGTACGAACTTCTTGCCCACGTAGAACGGGTCCCCGTTGCGGTACACCACGATGGTCTTGGCGGGCGTGGTGTCCACCAGCGCGGAGGGCCCGCGGGTGCCCATGGCCGCGCCCCGCTCCTCGCTCGCCGGGGCCGGGAGGCTGCAGAGCCGCGCCCAGGCCCAGGCCCAGGCACCGCCGAGGGAAGGTCCTCTCCAGCCGCGGGGGCGGGACGGGGACGGGACGGGGACTGGACGGGGCTGCTAGGCGGGCGGAGGCTGCGTGTTGACGCGCCCCTGGGCGATTGTGACCGCCTGGCCGCCAGGGCGAGGGGCGCAAGGCCGGGGCAGGAGGGGGGCAGCGGGGAACCCAGGCAGGTGAGGGCGGCACCGGGCAGGGACAGGTGAGGGGTGCAGCGGGGAGCCCGGGCAGATGAAGGCGGCACCGGGCAGGGACAGGTGATTGGGTAATGGGGAGACCAAGCAGGTGAGGCGCGGCACAGGGCGGAGACAGGTGAGGGGGCAATGCGGAGCCCGGGGAGGTGACTGGCGTGAAGGCAGAGCCCAGGAAAAGAGGAGGAGGAGGAGGAGGCCAGAATGATTGTGCTGCGCTCCCTGGGACGCCCACCGTGCCCCCTCCCCCTACACTCGCCGCCCTCCTCTGTAGAAACGGTAGAGAGGGGCGTTATGGAGGGACCAGGACCATACTGACAATCAACACTGGATGGGTGCTGGGAGCTGCTTCACATTTTTGAACCTCTGTTTCTTTGATCTTGGGTTGAATTTGACCGGTTCAGATCCAAAATCTTCTAGGACTCCTGGCCCAGAGTGGAGAATTTGAGCTTTTCCACCAGAGGAGGAGCTGGGCAGAGCCACTCGGAGCCTGTGAGGGGCAGCGCTATAGCCGCTGGTGTGCGGTGTCAGGCGTGTGCCATTCAGAACGCACCCTCATTGGGGTTAAGAATGATTCAAAGGGAGAGGGGGTCTTTGGAAGAATCGTTCCTACTCTGGGTAAAGATAGGCCAGTCCTCTTGAGTGATTCTAGAAATATATTTTCCCAAAGGTTTTGATGAGCTGGACAAAGTTTCAAAGACAGCAGGCTACATGTTATGGCTGGAAGTCCACACCGAAGGTACAGAATATTGATATTATCAATATCAATATCTTATAATGCTTAAAAAAAAAAAAAAGTAGCTCCGTAGAGACCACCATTCACAGCCGTAGCCAGTATGTAAGCTACGAAATGCCTCATAGCAACATTAAATACGGAGATCCGTTTGTGAGATGACCACTTTATTAAATCACCAGGTGTTCAAAACACTTGAAAAGAAGACTATGACTGGGAAATTCCTGCTGTGTGTCTGACACCCGGACTTTGTGTGTGTTAAGGGTTTGCTTTGAAGCCCACTGAGAACTTCATCATGGGCTTCTCCCGGGGCCTCAGGAGGCAGATGGAGCTGGGGAAGCCCCGGAGCCGAAGGCGGCTCACTCCCCCGTCGGGGACGATGGTGAGCCTGGCGTGAGTGATGACATCTTGGAGCTCCAGGGTCAGGCTATCGAACAGGTGACTTTGGTTGGGAGACAGCTGAAAAGCAAGCAGATGCAGAGGTCCTAGTCTGTTAACAGGGCATGTGTGGCCGGATGAGCCCACGCCCCAGGCAAACCTTTGGCTTGGACTTAAGCAAAGGGGCTTTAAAATAAGTTATTAATTGATGATAATTTGGCTTTCCATGAAAATCTGCTAGTAGGGATAGGATGCCCAAATAATACATGAATAATCAGGCCCCAATAAACAATTGATGGGCAACCTAAATGCCCACCAATTGTTTCTCATAGTTGATTATACATAAGCAAATTGATAAGAAAATGAAAGAAGAGATCATCTTGGTCTCTCCCAGAGATGATTCCCTATCTTTACATGGGAGCAGCTCTCACCTCCAGCCTGACCCTCTTTCTAAATCAAAGAAGACACTTGTGGAATATCTCAGAGCGTCCACCTGCAGGTCCATTATAGCTTTAAATGTGCTAGTAGCCCCTTCTACAAAGTTAAACATAATACAGAGACATGTTTCCATGTATGTATGCTGAGCACATAACAATTTTGTTCTAACAAAATTTGGAAATACAAAAGTGGAGAGAAATAGAGCCTTTCTTCTTATTTAAGTTTTCAGATAGGGGTTTTAAGCCTCATTCATTTTACCATTAAACTGAGCAGAAACCTTGGAGTGTATCCTAATCCTTCAAAAGAGAATCTTAGGGAAATAGCATAGTCTGAGTGCTGGCTCCTAATAACATGCCACACGAACCTTGGTTACTGGAAGCAGTGGTTTCCACTTGTGGGCCGGGAGAATCCACTTTTGCTTGATCATGTCGTCTTCTTCCTGAGTGGTCAGGACGCACCCATCCACTTTACAGCTGTCAGGAGCATTGCCTGTTGGAGCAAAACACAGTGTGATTTTCTGCCCTCATTTACACTCAGTTTGGCATATAGGACATCATGCTTTTTTAATAAGATCAAAAACCCAGCAAAGAATAAGTCCCTGCTCTTCCGGAGCAAAAGCAAAGGTATGAAGTACGTGAGAGAAGGAACAAACTGGTTTGTGATGCTCAGATTGCCTCATGAAATAGACATTTCTTTTTCAGAAGACTCAGAAGCAGTCCACCATATGTGAAGGAGCTGGCGCATTTCAGTTTGAATGTATAGCGTTCTCACTTTGAAATCTGAATGTATTTGATAAGCTTCCTCAATTGCAGATTTAATTACTTGCAGACTGCTATGTGGCTCATCTGAAATTATTATGAAGCTGGAAAATATTTTCCTATGACATATTTCTTAACATGACAATCAAAAGGAAATACTGAATTTTCTGTTAGCTAGCGCTGGGCACCAGCCACACACATGGATTTGGGAATTTCTGAGTCATCTTCAGGTGAGAGTATATGGTCCTGAGATTCTTCTCTCTTTGGAATATCATAGGAATCGTGTGCTCAGTGGGGTTAGAGGACCTTGGGGGGAAGGTCCCACTCTCTTTGAGAAGAGAGAACTTCTGTTGGGGCTCTTTAGGATCGACAGAGTAGGAGCTGCTAATTAAGAACCCTGGAAAAGAGGAGGCTGTGGCTCACATGCCCCCTTTGTGGCCCATCTCTCAAAACGGTGGTCTCCAGGGTGGGCGAACATGCCCCTGGGGTACATACGGACACAAAGGACACAGGAAGAGAACATTAGAGCTGCTATTTCTATTTGATATACATACATATGTGAATGTATATTAAGCTTTGTGTATTTGATATAACTTACTATATTATTGCTATAAGTGGATACCGCCATGCTCCCTCATTTCCATTACAGTCATCACATTGTATGTACCAGAGGTATCCTGAGTGATCGACAGTGGTAGATTCATGACCTGTTGCAGTTTTGGGTGCCTGCTTAAGTGGATATACTGTTTGTTATCTAGTTTTATCTAAACCATCCCTCACAAAAATAAGTAAGTTATTTTAAACTATTCATGCAGAGAACTGTGGATTAAATATACCACAAAAAATGCAAGTAAGTATGAACAAGAAAATCCAGAACTGCCATTTCACCTGACCCTCAGTCAGCCACATTGAAAAGTAAAAACCATGGCCACATAACTGGATGTAAAATGCAGTCTTAAAAAAAACAAGCAATGGGGAAATGACTCCAAAATTCAATAAATGCTGCTGGGATAACTGACTAGCCATATGCAGAAGATTGAAACAGGACCCCTTCCTTACCCCATATATAAAAATCAACTCAAGATGGATTAAAGACTTAAATGTAAAACCCAAAACTATAAACACCCTGGAAGATAACTTAGGAAATACCATTCTGGACATAGGAACTGGCAAAGATTTCACGATGAAGATGCCAAAAGCAATTGTAACAAAAGCAAAAAAAAAAAAAAAAAAAAAGACAAATGGGATTTGATTAAAGAGCTTCTGCCAAGGACATAAACAGATGCTTCTCAAAAGAAGACATACATGCAGCCAACAAGCATATGAAAAAATGGCCGACATCACTAATCATTAGAGAAATGCACATCAAAACCACTGGGAGATACAATCTCACACCAGTCAGAATGGCTGTTATGAAAAAATAAAAAAATAACAGTTGCTGAGAAGGTGGTGGAGAAGAGGGAACATGTATACACAGCTGATGGGAGTGTAAATTAGTTCAGCCATTATGGAAGGTGTTGTGGCAATTCCTCAGAGAACTAAAAACAGAATTACCATTTGACTTAGCAATCCCATTATTGGCATATAACCAAAGGAATATAAATTGTTCTGCCATAAAGACATGTACATGTATGTTCACTGCAGCACTGTTCACAATAGCAGACATGGAATCAACCTAAATGTCCATCAATTGTAGACTGGCTAAAGAAAATACGATACATATACAACATGGAATATTATGCAGCCATAAAAAAGAATGAGATAATGTCCTTTGCAGCAACATGGATGTGTGCAGCTGGAGACCATTATTCTTAGCAAACTAACACAGGAACAGAAAACCAAATACTACATGTTTTCATAAGTGGCAGCTAAATAATGGGAACACATGGGTACGTGGACACTGGGGCCTAATTGAAGGTGGAGGGTGGGAGGAGGGAGATCAGAAAAAAACACTTATTGGGTACTATACTTGATACCTAGGTGACAAAATAATCTGTACACCAAAACCCCATAACACAGGTTTACCTACATAACAAACCTGCAACCTAAAATAACAGTTAAAAGAAAAAATAGATAAAATGCCGTCTTTCCAAAATAAGTTAAAATTACCAAGACTTCCTGAAATAATTATAGGCACTACTGTTGATGAGCCTGGCCTTGAACTTGATATATAGGTTAATAATTGAGTAAAGTCACAATAATTCCCAAGACATTTAAAAACCACTCACCCAAAACATGAATATAAACTGCCACTATTTATTCAAAAATGGCTAACATGGAATGCTCAATCCAGTACTTATAAAATGTCATATAACAATTATAAAATTGTATCAATTTCTTTTGAATTTTCTTAATAATACACATATGTATTTCATAAGGAAGTAAATACAGAATATCAGCGTTGTTTGTCCAAATATTTTTTTTAACAAATAGAGGTGCAGAGTTTTAAAAATGTGTAAATCACTGTCTTAAAAGTGAAGCCTGGGGAAGAAATGGTCACTCCTCTTCCCCAGTCAATCTGCTGAGGACCTTTCTCCGTAAAAAGGTGCCTCCTATCCCTGTGCTTCTCACAGGCTCTTTCCAAGAGGGATGCAGAGCCTCTATAGTAAAGAGCTGGACAGTGTCATGGAATCTTGTATGACTTTGGGGGTCATCCAGCCCAAATGTGAATTTTATAGAGGGATTACTAAAGTTCAAAGGGTTGGCTGGGCATGGTGTCTCACGCCTGTAATCCCACCACTTTGGGAGGCTGAGATGGGCGTATCACCTGAGGTCAGGAGTTCAAGACTAGCCTGGTCAACATAGTGAAACCCATCTCTACTAAAAATACAAAAATTAGCCAGGCCTGGTGGCGGGCACCTGTAATCCCAGCTACTCAGGAAGCTAAGGCAGGAAGAATTGCTTGAACCCAGGAGGCAGAGGTTGCAATGAGCCAAGATCGTGCCACTGCACTCCAACCTGGGTGACAAAGCAAGACTCCTTCTCAAAAATAAATAAGGGTCAGGCACAGTGGCTCAGGCCTGTAATCCCAGCACTTTGGGAGGCCACAGTGGGTGAATCACCTGAGGTCAGGAGGTCAAGACCAGCCTAGCCAACATGGCAAAAACCCATCTCTACTAAAAATACAAAAATTAGCTGGGTATTGTGTAGAGTGCCTGTAATCCCAGCTACTCGGGAGACTGAGGCAGGAGAATCGCTCAGACCCTGGAGGTGGAGGTTGCAGTGAGCCGAGATTGCACCACTGCACTCCAGTCTGGGCGACACAGCAAGACGCCATCTCAAATTAATAAATAATAGATAGATAGATAGAGTTCTAAGGGTTAAAGTAGCATGCTCAAAATTACCCAGGTTAAGTGGGGAATCCACACCAAGAGCCCAGTGTCCTCAGTCCGACTTCCATAGAACTCAATCTTTAGAATAAACATACCAATTATAAGGTACTTCTTTCTGGCTTTGCATTTACCTTTAAAATATTTTGTGTCAATTTCGATTAGAGTTATTACTCCAGGATGTGCCAATCGGAAAACTGCCCATTCACAACCCGGAACCAAGAGAATGCCATTATCATCATTCTGGAATTCAGAAGAGAAGAAAATGGTAAACGAACTTAGAGTCATTCAAGAAACCAGTCCCGAAAACCAACAGGTGAAAAAGGTTGACGTGCTTCTTTTATTTCTTACTATAGAAAAGTGTTTCCTGGGGCCTGATGTGTAGATCACTGTCACTTAAATTGCCTCTTTGCTATCATTTCTTAAATATCTCATGCCAATTTGTGAGTTCATGGGGCCCGGATAAGTTTTTCTAAATTTCTATGTCAATTACAGATCCCTGCAAAATGTTATACGTGCAGCAATCTTTAATCCAGTCCATAGGTTCTCTGATTAGTTTGTTTTGACCTTTCAAGGTACATATTTTGTTGGTCAAACCTATACCGATACATGATGTACGTTCAAACCTTAGTTTTGAGAATGGAGAGTTTGTTCACTGATATCTCAGAGCATCAGGTGACATGAAATCCAGTTTAGGAAGGGGAGAGCACTTTTCTGACCAAGTTTTCAGTGGGATTTGCAAATTGAAAGGCATTGTATTTTTTGTTTCGCTTCATCTTGGTTTCTCTATCTCAAATTAGTTACTGGCCAAATTAAACAGCTGCATAGACTCTAGGGTGCCCTGTCCATCACAAGTTCACATAAGTGGTGTAATCCTGAGATACACAGATATTTAGCATTACTAAACTAGTGGTTCTTCCCCAGATCTCCCAACATATTTATTCATAACTTTTGTATTATTAAATCGCAGCTCCTTTTGTTTCTTTATTGAAGAAACAGAGGAACGTTCCAAAAATGCATTGGCGTAGCTGGCAATGACCGGTATGTTTGGCCTTCTGAGTCTCTGCCCTGATATTATCATGAAAACAGTGGGAAATTTGGAAAAAGTAAATCATAGTAATTAGCATTTAGAACAATGCGTATGAGGTTTCTAAAATATGCAAAAGTTTATTTAAATGAAAAAAGTTCCAAAAAATACTTTTTAGAAAAACTTTACACTATAGTTATTTTTAACTTCTTACTTCTAATATCGGTGGCCGGTCCAGCCTTCTTGCCGTTTCCCAACCATCCGCCATAGACTTTGCCCCACCGACTCCTACAGAAAATAACATTGTTAAATGGTAAACTGCATGATTTTAACTATGAGAACAAATACAATGCTGTAATTAAATTACAGATCTCATGCATCTGAGCATTGCTATATAAATTATTTTCATTAAAGTTAATGTTTCAGTAAATTCACAATCATAGCGTTAGTTAAATTTTACTTTTCCTTTTAAAGCAGATACTTAGGCCAAAATTAGGTAGAGAAATTGGTAATGTTGACTTATTTCATGTCATAAAGGCATCAAATCCTACACATGGAAGATTAATCTCATCCACTCCCATGCTTTGAGATGTGCCTTTCCTTTTAAATCATTCTGACCATAGTGGGGTATTTAATGCTGGTACCCAGACTTCCTAAATAAGCCAGCTCCGAGAATATCATCTTACCTATTATATTGTTTGGGTGCCCAAACTTAGCACTACTAAATCCTACACAGACACCCCCAAAAGCGATGGCCACTAGGTCTGCATGTTCTTTGGGGTCAGTTGCAGTCCAGTCTTTTTGTCCAGTACCTAATACTCTAAGTCGTGCAATTCCACCATCTGAAAAGGAAAGGTGCCTTAGTTATTGTTTGTAAAAATGGCTGCTTGTGTATCATCAACTACAGGACCCTCCTGTCTTCTCCAGTGTCATCTCTTGGTAGGTTTTGGCCACATCCACCTGCTGTTTCTCAGATGCAACAAGCCCACTGCCCCAGGGCCTTTGCATTTGATATTATCCTGTACCAGAACAACTTTCCCAGCTCTCCAAACGACTACTTTTGTTCCTCACCTTAAAGGCATGGTCTCAGAAAAGCTTTCCCTCCATCCTCTGAAGTTATCTCCTCCCTGCTCCATCCAGCCACTGCCTGCTCCCCAGGTTACATTTTATCATATCCCCTTGCTTATTTACTCCAAAGCTCTAATTACAGCCTGAAATTATCTTTCTAAGTTCCTGTTAAAATCAGTCTCTCAAACCCAGAAGGCGAAATCCTTGGAGGCCAGACCAGTTATCTGTGTTGTTCACTTCTGTACCGCTCTTGTATCGTCTCTACCTAGAAGAGGTCTGGGCACACAGTAGGCATCGAAGTTTTTTTAATTAAATAAACAACTCCAAGGTCAAACAGCATTTGGGAAATTCACCATCCAAATAATATTTCGTGCTAGAAATGAGCATTGCTGACTCTCACAGACTCAGACAAGAGAACCTTGTGTTTTTATTTTTACAACACCACACTGCTTAGCAATGTTATTGAGAATACAAAAGATAATATTGACAAAATGAAATTGCTACCGAGAACCACAGCAGCTTGGAAGTAGGTCTGCAGAGCAGCAAATAGCTACCAAAATCAACTCACAGCATCTAATTCTAGTAGAATGAATGTTTTGTGTCTTCGAATATTAATTCCTAGAAGGTGGCAACCAAGCATTTTTAATATAGAAAATTAATTTAATCAAAATATTGTACTAAAACAAGCCCTATATGTTTTTATTTTACAAATTTGGTGAAAATGAGTGATCTGAAAATTTTTTGATAAAACAATGGAAGTCTTGCTATTTACAACAAATAAAACCAAAAACTTCATTGCCATAAAACCCTAGAAAACATCCTAGAGGGAGTCATTCAGCAGGAGCTAGGCTGTGAGAGGAGTATCACTGCCATTCTAGTTCATTAAATGTTATAATTGGTTTTAATGGTATAGAAGATATTCATCTGTTGAAAGTAAAGTCTACTTCACATTTTTAAAAATAAGATTCTTCTTTACAGAGTTAATATCCAAAGTTGCTTTTAATCACAACTGTCAAGGAATCCCAGAAATGACTCTTCATCCTCTGAGTACATCTCATTTAAACCAACCCATTCCCACCCAATGTGTCCCCGTGACATCAGCCTGGTTTTCCGCAGCTTCCTTTCCCTTTACACCTGGATCCCAGGTGGAATCGTCATGGGGCAATTAAAGATGCCACTAAGAGTTTGGGACATGAAATCTGAATGCAGGCATTGCCCATCTTTCCTCTTCAGGTCGTCAATGCTGATCAATTAGGAAAGAGCTTTTATGTGCTTAGGGGTCCTTCATATTCAACCCGGAAAAGCAGGGCTCCCAGTCAGAAGCTATTTTAGACCCTCTTTCAACTCATGAATCCTATACAAACTGGGTTGGACATATAAAGTTGCTATTTTGGTGGATCAGAAATAGTCAAATAGAAATGTTTATGGCTCTACCAAAATACTTTTGTTATATGTATCACTATTTTGCAGTTTTTGTTTTGTTTTCTTTTCTTTTCTTTTTGAGACAGAGTCTCACTCTTGTCACCCAGGCTGGAGTGCAGTGGCACGATCTCAGCTCACTGCAACCTCCGCCTCCCGGGTTCAAGTGATTCTGCTGCCTCAGTCTCCCCAGTAGCTGGGATTACAGGCATGCGCCACCACGCCTGGCTAATTTTTGTACTTTTAGTAGAGACGGGGTTTCGCCATGTTGGCCAGGCTGGTCTCGAACTCCTGACCTCAGGTGATCCACCCACCTCGGCCTCCCAAAGTTATTTTTCTTATCTGTCTCCCGCTGGGTTATTCACTTCATAAGGACAAGGACTCTGTCAATTAAATCTAGCAACAAATAGTTATTGAGCTTCTCCTCTGTTCCTCATGCTGTACTAAGTGTCAGGTGTACAAAAATGACAATCTGGACCCACAGCCCTTTCTTCATGAAGCGTACACTCTGTTGGCTCTGACCTACACATTGTCAGGAAAATGATTATATGGCCAATGCTCAGTCTGTAGCTCAAAGTAGTTATTCCATAGTGTATGTTAAATTAACAAGTAGGAAAAAGGCCTGAATCTCTTGTAAGCTTGCTCATTCATTGTCTTGCACTGTTTTTAGAACACATGATTTCAGTGAGTAATTAATATTAGTAAACATGTGTTTAGATCTTTCCATTTTCATGTCTCACTTTAAAGCATCATAAACAGAGAAACATTGCACCTAAAATAAGGTTCCAGAGAACCACTTCTGCCATGACAGCAGGAGGAGCTTTGCTGTCCTGTTCCTCAGTGGAGTTGGTGAAATTTAGGGGGAGTCGGGGATGGGAAAATACTTCAGGTCTCTGGAAATGGTCCTAAGGGCATACGGAAAATTCAGCAACATCTATTCAAGAATATCTGCTAAAATTCAGTAAGAGCAGTGAGAGTCTGCAGTATCTGAACCAACCTCACCGTCACACCCTCTCCCAGATCAGCAAAGTGGAGACTGCAAACAACTGCAGCCCATGGTTGCAGGGCTGTCTTCCCAGGACAGGCAGGACATCAGGGCTTCTCATTCTGCCCCTATATGCCTGTTGCTGAGGCTAAGTCCTGGGTGAGTGTGGTTGAGAGGCAGGGGCTCCTTTATTTGACCCAGCCCTGACTCATGGGACAGGGTCCTACCTTCGGCGTGGCCACTGGGATATTGGGGCCACAGTGACCCATCTCGTGGTCCATAAGGTGGAGGCGTCACACTGAGGGTGAGACATCCCCAGCCCTGCAAACCCTGTAACTCAGAGGGAACACCAAATCAGAGTTGCTGTTCAGCAACACCATGTTGTAAGCGGTTTGTTCCACGGGTCCCCTGGGGACAAACACCTAGCTAACCTTCTCACACCACTAGAATATGCTCCCTGGGACTTCCCCTATTCTGATGGGCAGTAATTTGATTATGTACTACAAATGAGGCAATCCTGGGCTTAAGGTGCCATCTAGTGCTGAAAAGTAGGCAGCTACCTAGCAGGAAATAAAATTAACAGGAAATTTATAAAGATTCTCTAAGCTAAGCTTGTCCAACACATGGCCAGTGGGTCTTATGAGGCCCATGGTGGCTTTGAATGTGGCCCAACACAAATTCATAAACTTTCTTAAAAACAGTATGAGATTTTTTTGTTTGTTTGTTTGTTTGTTTTGGCTCATCAGCTATCATTAGTGTTAGTATATTTTATGTGTGGCCCAAGACAATTCTTCTTCCAATGTGGCCCAGGGAAGCTAACATATTGCATACTCCCTATATTTAAGCAAACATATTCAACAAAAACTGAAACAAACCAGACAGAAAAGCCTGGAATAAATAACTAATGCTTCAATGCACAGGCATTGATGTACATCCATAAGAAACAACAGCAAAGAACTGTGACATCCCCAAATGGACAAAGCAAGGAACCAGTGACTGATCATAATAAGACAGTGATATATGAATGCTGTAATCAATAATTCAAAATAGCAGTTTTAAGGAAACTCAGTGACCTCAAAGATAACACATAAAAGCAGCTTAGAAGTTTATCAGAGAAATTTAACGAAGAGATTTAAAGAATTTTTAAAATCAAACAGAAACCTTTGAATGGAAAAATACATTTGCTGAACGGAAAAATTCATTAGAGGCTCTTAAGAGTACAATGAAGCAAGCAGAGGAAAGAATCAGTGAGCTCAAAAATGGGCTATTTAAAAATACACAGAGGAGAAAAAAGTGAAAAAGAATTAAGATTGCTTACAATATATAAAAAATTACCCCAAAAGACCAAATCTAAGAATTATTGGTGTTCAGGAGGGAGTTGAGCAAGAGAAAGGGGTAGAAAGCTTATTCAAAGAAATAATAGAAAACTTTTCAAAACTTGATGAAGACATAAATATCCTGGTACAGAAAGGTCAGAGAATACCAAACAGATTGTATCCAAATAAGACTATTCCAAGGCATTTCAAAAATCCTAAAGGTCAAGGACAGGCTGGGTATGACGACTCATGCCTATAACAAGCACTTTGGGAGATCAAGATGGGTGGATTGCTCGAGCCCAGGATTTTGCGACCAGCCTGGGCAACATGGTAAAATCCTGTTTCTACAAAAAAAAAAAAAAAATACGAAAATTAGCCAGGCATGGTGGTGTACACCAGTGGTCCCAGCTACTTGGGATGCTGATGTGGCAGGATCATCTGAGCCAAAAGAGGTTGAAACTGCAGTGACCTGCGATTATACCATCAGACTCCAGCCTGGGTGACAAAGTGAGACCCTGTCTCAAGAAAAAAAAAAAAAGGTCAAGGATACAAAAAATCCTAAAAGCAGCAAGAGAAAAGAAGCAAACAACATAAAGAAGCTTCAATTCATCTGTCAAAGGACTTCTCAATGGTAGCCATACAGGCCAAGAAGAAGTGGGATGACATTTTAAAGTGCTGAAAGAAGAAAAGACTGCCATCCAAGAATATTGTATCCAGAAAAGCTATCTTTCAAATATGAAAGAGAGAGAAAATCTTTCCTGGATAAACAAGAGCTGAGAGAATTCACCACCACCAGTATTAAATGAAATGCTAAAGTTCTTCAGTTTGGAAAAAAACACTAATGTGCAAAAAGAAAATATTTAAATTTATAAAACCCACTAGTAAAATTAAGTGCATTAATGAACTCGGAATACCCCAACACTGTAATTATAGTGTGTAATTCACTCATAACTCTAGTATGAAGTCCAAAAGACAAATCTATCAAAAATAATATTTTTGTTGATATCATTAACAGATGTTAAAAGATAGGCAATATAAAAACATGCAAATTGAG